TAAGTCCGCCCTTTGTATTCTTTTGTTTAAGGATGCAATAAAGAATAAAATAAACAAATAAATAATGTTTCAAAACTGTTGATTGAAGACAAATATCCTTATTTCTTTATTACCCTTTGATAATTAAACTTTTTCATACTTTTTATATATATTAGAAAAAAAATACTTCCTTAAATACTATATTATTTAAATTAGTTAGAATGGTATAATCATTATGAAACTAAAATAAATAAAATTCTAAGCTTGTAATATTATGTTTTGTACATAATAACCGTGTAGTAGGTATAAGAATATTCAGGACATCATAACATCCCCTGAGTGTCATACGAGGCGACAGAGGAAACTAAATCAGGAGATGGGCAGCAGCAATATCCTAATACTGACAAAAAAATAAAAAATAGTATTTGCCGACCTGCTTGCCAAGCATAGCAACAGTGGCAAATATCCCCCTATAAGGCAATCTATAGGGGAGGCTTATGTTCAGCAGTACCTAGACTTTAAATAAGCTGTAACCATAACAGTACATAATAAATACAATAGCAAAAAACAAATTATGTAAAATGAATAACTGTATACCTACCATACTAGCGTGGTATTATTTAATGCAAACAAAACTATACTCCAAAGAAGAATAGGCTTCCCAAAAAACTATCTGCTAAGCACAGTTCTGAGCTACCATTTTCTCCAGTAAAAGTTCATTGCTGCACATGGCCCTCTACCAATATTTTTAATATTATTTTATAGACTAAGTTTTACAAATGAACCCACAGTCCACCGGATGGTAACTGCTGTGACCCATAGACATTTACTTTCAGTCATATTAACAAACCTCATATAATTATATCTTATCTTATTAAGAATCAAAATGCTGATGTGTTGTCACCCCTGAGGACTAAATTGGAATACCTCGTTTCTAGTAAAAAGGGTCTCCTATTCTCTACACTTATCACACAAAACACACCAGCATTAAGCTGCTATGTTACATTGGTATTCTGTGACAGTGTAGTCCTTCCCCTGTCGAGGCGACCCATTTGTACTATTCAACTAATATAGCTGCAGCATGGCTCTACTACATAAGTTTTCCATTTGAAACTGTTTCCCATCTCCAGTTTGGCTATTACATGCCTGACATAAACAAGAAAATTGTAATGATATTTATTTTGGAACTTTTGGCATATCCCATATTCACCTCTCACAATGGTCTCAGGACAAAATCTGGTGATATTATTTTACTCGTCCACCACACAGAGTAGAGCCACTTACCTATTAGATTTCCTGTACATTTTACAAGGTAATCTTTCCTTCAAATGGGGGAAAACCGATAATGTGACAGTCATCTTTGCTATGGTTTTGGTACTAATTAGCTATTTTACTTATTATATTATATATTCATACCTTTATCATGACAGGAAGGTTTCCTAATGATCTATCAATTGTCAGGGACTTATTGTCAACAGTAAATGTCATTCTAACTTTAAAGTCTCCCTTATATGTTGCTGCTCTCTGTCGGCATTCTGTAGGGAGGACTCTTTGGTTCTTAACTCCCACTACATCCATTGGAACACTTGGTTTCGCGAATGCAGCTTCATCTATTGTGATTTTAACTTTTTCCCCACTAGGCAGTTCAAATTCAGCAGGAACCAGATCTGTTAAAGCCGCTTTTAATCCTTCATGGAGCATATAGTTGAAAGAATCAGTGTGTGGCGCCCCAAGGCATTGGAGGTACTAAAAGGAGAATTGCAAGTAAGATTAAACCAAGCAAAATTATTAGCTTTACGACAAAAATAATGATAAACAATAAACTTACAGGATTGGCAATTTTTGGAGGTTTACGATAGTCAGGATGGCTGGTATATGATAATGAAGGTTTGTGCAAGACTTTCTTTTGATTCATGTTTTCTGATTATTAACATTAATAGCCTTTTTTATGAATAACCTAAAGCCTTATAAAAAAAACACGTGCAGTATTGTGTTTATTGCTATCTGCCATTAGCCTATACCATAGAAAAAAATTGGCCTATACAGTATCTCATCATTAGCCAAGAAAATAAATGTGCGTTTGGCAGAAAAAACGCTCAAGCCTTTAAACAAAATGGCATCTAACGGTAACTGTCAAATCCTAAGTAGCTATTTTCCTCTAGACACTATTAGCGGACCTAAATTATGTTGTAAAGTATTCATATTAAAACTTACCAACATTAATAACATGTATAGTTATCATGTCATTATATTACTTAAAACTAATATTGCACAAAACAACTATAAACTCTACTCAAAACAAACAAATTAAATAAGCAAAATGGCGGATTGTTCACCTACAAGTAGGACTTCCTGGCCGAAAACTATTAGCGCTTATAAGCGCTTGCTAGCCTTTTTTCTGCCAAACACCCAATCATTAGCCCTTGACGATGACGAGTTTATAGCTGTCAAAATTGTCGAAACATGACATTGACACTGACAGTGATATTTTTTGTTTTATATAAAGGGAGTCATGCCCATACAGCCTAGACTGATGTGTATTTTTTTTTCATATTTTCTTTATAATATGCTGGTGCTGATCAATCACATTACGTTTCATTTTGAAGGTAGCCTAATCAAGCAGCCAGTTTATGTCGATAATAACTCAAGGCAACTTTGGTGATAAATAAAATTATTTTAATTTATATTGGTCATTTTGGTCTCTTTATATTATGCCAAAAATATCAAAATTAGGGTCAGTTCAGTCAGTCACCCAGAGATGTGACGCGCCGCAGCCAGTGGTTTCGTACTGCGCAGCGTGCCACCACGGACGCTTCGCGATATCGTGCGGCGCATCGTGAAGTAGCTGGCTGTGCACAGCTCTGGCACACTGTGCCTACCGACGAAGCACCGCTGCGTCGTTATGCGGCGTGAACCGTTTAAAGAAATTGATTGCATCGAATTGATGTAAATAATAGTGATTTGCACAATTTTAATAGTAGAAATAAAAATAAAATCACAATACCTGCTTTCCGGTTACACAAAGTATATAATGCGTTCTTGGGTAGCGATATACGCTTTTATAATAAGATTCCAAAAGAAATGTTAGATCTTTCACCTTTTCAATTTAAGTCAGACAAAAATGCTTGGAACTGACCTCTCGTACTACACAGGAATAACTAGAAATTTCTAAACCGATTTGGTATCTACATATACATTTGACATTTTATGTTTGACTTATCGCTTTACATAATTATAGAACTATTGCAAAAATATTTTAAAAAGAGCAACTACTGAGTTTCTTACTTTCTTCCATGATTCTTCTCAGTAGAATCAGAACCCCTGGACATGGAAAAGAAAAAAATTGGGGAACAGTGATTATATGACTATTCAAGAGTGTATTTTTAATGCCTACTTGAATAAAACATATTTGAATTTTGAATTTCAAACGAGTGAAGGCAAATTTAATTTAATTAACGTAGATTAATTCAATCACAAGAAGAACATAATATACACAATTTTATTTACATATTTACATTTCATTTTTACGTAGGCACACTATACCTATCTGGCAACGCATCTAATTTATTAATCTTCTGAAGAATCATTTTTATCAAGGGATGCCGAACTTTCCTTTGTCGGTCTTTCGGCTTGTACTTACAAATAGTAGTATTTATTTTAATTCCAGTCATTCCCAATTGAGCTTTGCTTCGAGTCTAATGTATTAATTGTTTTTATTCTAATCCTTGTTGTTCTCGGAGTGATAAGTTTACAATTTGACATGAGTTACGAAGAGTCGAATAGTTCTAGTCGGAGTAGTGAAAGTTGGAGTTATAGATCTAAAAGACCTAAAAGTAAATTTGATGAGTTTTTCGACATAATTCATGCATCCCAAATTGCGTAAATTAAAAAATATAAGATTAAAAAAATTGTGTAAATTATGCCAACATAAAAAGGTTGAAATAAAAATGAAAAACAGAAACACTTCAGGCTTAAGGAAGCATCTAATATCTTTCCACAAAAAGGAATCACAAATATTTCTTCCTGAAAAACCAAAATTAGGTGGAGATATCACAAGCTTTTTAATAACCACCGGAAAAAGTGAACAGGTAAGAAAAAATACACTTATCACACAATTACATAACACATATATTATGTAACTAGCGGCCGCCTGCGACTTCGTCCGCGTACAATATCTGATTTCCTATGAGATTTTGAAATTTTCTCGCTGTAAAAGTCTTACCTAAGTATAAAGAGCTTTGCTCACATTTTGAACCATGGTGTACAAGATTTATTAAAGACCTTAGCATTACACAGTGAAACAGACAATAAGGGACAAGAACAGCAGTATGAAGACGAAACTGAGGAAGATGAAGAATATGCGCCAAATGTTGCTGACTCATGTACAGCTATAACAAAATTACGCTGTATTTCCTGTAAAATAAAAAGAAGTGAGATATTGAAGAGGAAGTTTCAGTCTGCTTGTGAAGCAGCTGGCGTGCCATCAAATCTGAACCCCATAATAAAAAAAGTACCGCACCCAAATCCGTTCACCCGTATAAGAGCTACAGCGCCACAGACAGACAGACTGATAACGGTCAAAGTTTTAACACATCTCTTTTTCGTCGAGGTTTAAAAATAGGAAATATTTATACACCGTTTTGTTGAAGTTGGAGTAGTGCTGTACCTCGGTTACTGTCGATCAATTGAGGACCTTACAGCAAAAGAGGGGCAGATCCAAATTTTAACCGTTACCTTTTTTTTCACCTACATTTTAAACAAAAAAATTAGCTATGGTTTGGTGCATTTAGGAGGCAAATCCGACGACAAACAAGCGCGCTTTAATAAAATTTGGATCTGCTACCTTAATTTGTTTGGTGCAAGAAGGGAGCAGGTCCGGACCTGCCTCCTTCTTGCAATAAATGAAATTATTACATCATTTGTAAACAAGTCAGTGCACGTTTTGTGCTCGGCCCGAAAGGACATGCGTATTATTCTTTTAAATAATTGTTTTAAGTTTGATACGTTAAGTGTGTATTAAAATGAGTGACACTGAACCATTTAGTAGCGGCTCGTCAGATATTTACCAGCCGCATGTCTACGAGTCATGTTCAACCAGTTCAGATGATGATGGAAGCGATGTTGGTTTGTTGACATTTCAAAACCAAACTAATGAGGCGAACGATAAAGGTATGAATATTTTGGATGAATTTAATACAGATAATCCATGCCCATCGACGAGTGGCATAGCGCCGAAAAAAAGAAAATCCGCGAATCCATCACAATGGAAACGGAATGTAATAAAGAAGTCTATTGCTACTGGAAACGGCTATTTAAACTACAAAGGCCGTGAAATAGGCGAAAGAAAAACTGGACCGGATTGTTGTTGTAAGAAGTATAAGTGTTTTGTTCAAATTAATGAAGAAGATAGGAAACTAATATTGGAAAATTTTAATAAATTGGAAGAAACCTATGTGCAAAACGTATACTTAGGCGGTTTAATTAAAACTGAGAATGTTGAAAGGGAAAGATCTAAAACTGGTACGGGGGAAGAAACGGAGTTGTTCACACAAATATTATATTAAATTAGGAAATAGAAATATACAAATTTGCAGAAATGGCTTTGCATCTATCCATGGAATATCCAAAAAGCGTGTAGACAATGTTGCTAAAGAGTATCGGGATCCTACTGACTACACCACTCAGTCTAATCGTGGAAAACATCAAAATAGACCAAATCGTATTCCAAGTGAATGGGTTTCTAAAGTTGACTCTCATATTAGAAGTTTCCCACGTCGCGAGTCACACTACAGTAGAAATAAAAGCTCACGTTATTATCTGTCTCCAGAGTTGAACATTAAAAGGATGTACGAGTTATATTTGAAAAAGCATGAGCTTGGTCTTGAAGCATCTGCTAAGCCTATAGTATCATTTGATTTTTACTACAGATACTTTAAACAAAATTTAAATACAGTTTTGGGTCACCTCGGTCAGATACTTGCAAGAAGTGCGACATGCTGAGTAACAAACTAAAAGATAAGACATTGGATAGCGATGAAACCCAACAAATACAGATAGAGAAGAGTCTTCATCAAGCCAAGGCCGACACTTTTTTGTTGATTTAAAAGAGAAGAGTCAACTTGCTCTTAATAATGAAGAATGCGAAGTATTAACATTTGATTATCAGCAGAATATGCCATTACCTAAAATTCCAGCAGGTGAAGCATTTTATAAACGTCAACTTTGGGCATATAATTTTTGTATTCATTCAGCAAAAACAGGGATTGCTCACTTTTATTTATATGACGAAACCATAGGCCGAAAATCACCAAACGAAGTCACATCTTTTATAAATCACTACATAAATGACATTTTACCAAGCACAGTTAAAGTACTGTATTTATTTTCTGATAACGCAGTAGCACAAAATAAGAACTCGACTTTAGTTCAGTATCTATATACGCTTATGCGGTGTTCATCTTTTGAGAGGATTGTTCATGGACTTCCAGAACCAGGACACAGCTTCTTACCGTGTGATCGGTGTTTCGGCGTAATAGAAAAGTTTAATAGAAGGAAAGATTACATATTTACGACTTCTGAATATGCCGATTGTATTACGCAAGCATCTAAAAATTTTAAAGTTGTAAATGCAAGTCAAAATATGATACTTAACTTCAGCCAACATTATGAGAGTCATTTCAAAAAAGTAATAACAAATACAGAGAAGATTCGATTCAAAATATCTCAATATCGTATTTTTGAATATAGTAAAGACCACATTGAATCTATTGCAGTCAGTGTTACAACGGGAACGCCAGTATTTGATTATTTTCCTATAATGAGAAATGCTCAAGCCCAACTATCAGTTCTGCCTCAGAAACCGCTATATGATCATGCATTGCCGTTGAAAAAGGCTAAATACAACGATGTTATGCAGTTGGTAAAGAACTATAGAACTATGTTCTTTACCAACTGCATAACATCTATATTTCTACAGGGCCCTTAAAAGTGAAGCTGTCGGACCAACAGATGATATTTCTAGCGAAGACGACGATGATCAAGCTGAAGTTAACCTTTAATTTTTTTTTGTTCAGCACTCATTCGTTTTTGTATTTCTTTTGATTGTTTAATTCTTTGTGGACTGATTACTAATTCTTGAAATAAAAAAATAACCGTGTTTACCTGTTTTATTATCCTTAATACAAAATAGGGTAGTATTTTTCTTCAATCTTGGTGCAAAACGGAGGCAGATCCAAACTTTAAAAAATCGTAGTAATTCTATTACTTCTTCAATTGCCTTAAATCTTGAATAAAATGTGTATATATGTTCATATTATATAATACCATATAACGATAAGACATAAGTACATGAATCAATTTTTAAAAACCTTTTTTTTAAATACCCAACAGTTTTGAAATTTGGACTTGCCTCCCTTTAGCTGCAAGGTCCTCAATTATACCTTGATCAGTGGCCAAGATACAACCTGGAATTTGTACTTTGGCCAGGAGAATATTTTTTTAAATTATTTCAGTTTTCTGAATTGAAAGGAAACTGAGCCAAATAAAATATCCATCAGAGATGCAGCCTTTTGAGTTGAAAGGAAACTGAGTTTAATAGGTCCGTCAGAGGTGCAGCATTTGGAATTGAAAAGAAACTGAGCTAAATAGGAAATTTTGAATTGAAAGGGAAGATCTGTGGGAATTCTGATTAATTGATTGTGGGAATTTGGGAAAAAAAAACTAACTGAACACTATTTTAAGACGTTACTGTACACAATGTTATATGTTTTTCCATTCGGGGAAAGAATGTGGAGATTCTGGGCATTTAACACACGCGAACATGCTACATACAGCTGACCATGAGAGAAGCTGACTTTGATCAGGTGTTTCAGTAGTTAAAAATACGATTATTATTTTGATTTTGTTCAGAATTTGCTAGTTATTTTTTGTTAAATATTTCACTAGACCGAACAAAATGATTTTAGTTAAGAAAAGTTATTATTTTTAAATTACTCCCACATTCTCTTTGTGTCCTAGGTACACCGTAGTACTGGCCTAGGTACATAGGGTGTGTTGTACCTTGGCATTTATGACAATTTTTTTTATTTCTAAAACACATGTAAGTATGAAATATACATTCCTAATATTTTGGTGGTGAATACTCAAATAATTGACCTTTCAAAATATGCAAATATGGTTTGTATACAAAAAGTCAAAACACAATAAAAATGGGTATCCAAAAAACTGCCCTAGGTACGACAGATACTTTTTTCACGTGGTGAGCTACGCTGCAGCTATATTATGGTTGTAGCACGATTGGGTTGGCTCGACCTGGGGAGGACCGCGATCTCACAGAATAGCAGTGTAAAATAGCAGCTCTATGCTGCTGTGTTTCGTATGGTGGGGGTAGAGAACCGGATACTCTTTTTACTGGAAGCGAGGCATTCCATCTTAGTTTTTAGGGGTGACAACGCATCTCTATTTTGATTTTTAGCCGAGGATGATGATGTTGTCTATGGTCCACAATATCCATCCGGTGTAGTCAATCCGGTGAGTACCATCAGGTGGACTGTATACATGTTTATTACCCGTATTCTATAAAAAAAATATCAATTACGTAGTTGTAACTTTGCACAAACTCGATTTATGATTGTTTCTGTGTCTTCATGTGTGTAAAATAAATTGAACAAAAAATTAGATATCTTGGAGTTATTTCATTTATTTGTGTCATTTTTAATGGCGACCTCTGCAAACTTAAACGCAGACGGCTGCGGTTACTATCTAAAAATATTCCAATGTCATACACAATGCGTTTAAATTCTGAAATGCTTACGTTGGTTGGCCGACTTAAAACAAGATGCCATTCTAAATTTGACCTTATTTTGTTTTTCTTTAAGCGATATCTTTGCAAGTTGTGAATTGATTTTGATGGTTCTTTTTTATTAAATAGGCTGTACGACAAGAGTCAGTTAACCATTTAAAGAGGAGAGAATTTAATTAGGGGATTACATTTTCAATGCAAGTATTTAGGGTTTGAAATATACTGGTTGATTGATTCTTTATTAAGGCAAAATGTCGTTGATAATGGGTCACTATTTTCGAGGGCAATAGTGACTGTAGGTACTACCTACTCTCATTGGTTAGTAGGTGAAGGTGGATCGACTAACTTGTTAAACAAGAAGTAGCCGATATTTATGCAGATGATGACTCAAAAACTTACTCTCTTGCAGTTGGAACAAGGGCTCTCCTTACAGTACTATATCTTATTTATTTGTTTATTCTCATACATACAGTATTCAGGATTAACCTAATGCCGTTTTGTAGAGATCAACCAAGAGAGTTCGTAGAAAAAGAAGATAAAAAAAGAAGAAGGTCAAAGAATTAAAATAAAATAAATAAAATTATTTCTACACGATCATTTCTGAAGTCGCTAGACGTCGCGTATCGAATAACTAAAATTTAATTTTCTTATTATTTAAATATACATGTTTTTATGCTTTTTAGCCCCCGATGAAAACAAGGAGTGTTATAAGTTCCTAGTGTGTATCTGTGTTGTGTATGTGTGCGTCTGTGGCGTCATAGCTACTGAACGGATGAATCGATTTTGATTGAGTTTTTTCGTTTGAAAGATGTTTTAATGGAGTGTTCTTAGCTATGTTTCAAGAAAATCTGGCTAGCCATTTGAAGATCAAGAGCCTACGACGTGAGGAAAAGCAATGTCTAATAAACTCAACGCTCCGTCCCCCTCGTGTTCTTTTCAAAGCCCCAAAAACTTTCAGCTCGAATTACAAAATAAATGCCTAGAAGATTGCAAATCAGTGGACGATATGAAGAACAAGCTCGTGGAAACTGTCCATGTGGTCGGTCGTAGCTAAATTCTGCAAGATCCATTGCAGAAAAGTCAAAAACTCTCTCCCAGAAGCTGCAGTCTTCAGCCATGACGACATACAGGCAACTGAATAGACTTACGCAACTTCAATACAGCTCGCATTGAAGAAGTGATCGATTAAAACTAAAGCTCCAAAGTCTTTGCCAGAGATCTTCCAGAAAAAGCCAACCGTCGAAGTTGAAGACCGAATGTGGCAGCACTGTTTCCGGGAAAAATGAGATTTTGAGTGAGATTGGGAGGTTCTACGGGCAGCTATACACGTCTTCGTTGGAGTAAGTCTCATCTATCATTATTCCGATGATAACCAGAGGTCAGTCTGAGCGAGATTGCAATGGCTCTCCAGCACTTTATAAACGGCAAGACTACGGGCGAGGATGTAATTACAGCGGAGCTTCTGAAAGCGGGTGTACATTAAATACATGAAGTCCTTCAGAAGATCTTCATTTATGTACTCCATTTCTAATCACCTTTGGTTTAAATTCAGTTTTTTTTCTTCATATCGGTATATATACCTGATACGTGGTAGAGCCATGCTGCAGTTATATTAGTAGTATAGTTGTAGCACGAATGGGTCTTCTCGACCGGGGAAGGACCACGCTCTCACAGAATACCAGCGTAAAACAGGTGAATGTAGAGAACCCGAAAACCCTTTTTACTGGGAACGAGGCATTCCATCTTAGTCCTCACGGGTGACAA